CGGCTTCGAGACCGCGGTGATTGCGCAAGGCGCCCGCCGCCGAGATTCGAGACATTAATCATGTTGATGAAGTTCACGATGTTTTGCGATGCCGAGTAGTCTAGTCTGCGGTGGAGCATCCCCCCCTCTTTGATAGGCCGAACCATTACGAACCGCTCAACCGTGTCTTGCATACATAGTGCTACGGCGTTATGACGGCAAAATTAGGTACCTTCCGAGACCTCCGAGTGTGGGTTGCCCTTCTTTCTGCGTGGGACGGGGGTTGGAATTGACCAAACGCATTTCACGAATTAGTCAAACCGAAAAAGACCTTTTTCGAGTCAGAGGCAGTCGGGTCACCCGCAAACCACGAGTTGGGAAACTTTGGGCAGTCTTCTTCTTCTTCTTGACAGTCACCACGTCGAAATCCGAGCCGCCCTGCGCGTGAAGCATTGGCCCGTCCCCCCCTCCCCTCATCATCGCCGCGTGGCCGCAGAGGGCAGCCTCGCCTGTCGCCTCAGGTTCCGGACAAAGTATCGGGGGCACTGCGGCTCCTTTGCGGACATGACCATTTTCTCCAGGCACGCGGCTCCCAAACGGAGAATTCCCAGGTCCAAGGGGCGAACGGCGCATGGGGTTGCGGTCACGAGAAGGGGTGAGAAGGGGAATTCGGCCGGTTTTCCAACGAGGGGAGACTGTGAACTCAAGGGTCAATCCCTGGAGGCAATGGGACCTTCTTCTCTTCTCCTGGTGGTTGTCCCTGGGAACCTGGGACTTCATGCCCGATTCAAGACAGGGGATGCTGTCCGTTAGGCGTCGAAGAAGGGGGGAGGGGGTGGCCGTTCTCTGAGCGGAGGCGATACTGTCGGTTGGGTTCCGGTCCAGAAGGTGCACCGGTCAGCCTCAGCAAAGCCGGATGGATGGGCATATGACCGCGGCGTGCAACCCGGCAGGCAGTTGTGTTGTGTGCGTCGTGGACGTTGGCAAAGTTCGGCTCTTTTTGCAGCATGGCCCCCCTTTCCCCGTATCCGTTGCTGTGGTTGAAGCGAGCTGTCATGCCCATTTTCAGCGGCTCTGCCAGTCTTTTTGTGGGGTAAATTGGAAACTATCGGGGCAACGCCGCTCCCATCCAGATGGTTTCGTCGGGTCGGCTATTGGCCATTTGGGATCTTCCAGGTCCGCTTGGCGTCGTTGCTATGCCCCATGTTCGGGCCGTTATTGCAATCATTTGACCAACACTTTTACCCGACAGCGGTTGCAGTTGCTGATTTGGTTTGGTTTGGAATGGAAAAGGGCTCTTCGTCCGCAAATGTGCTGCGGTACGACAGTAAGGCACAGTTGCGAATCCTAGAGGACCAATCCATCACGAGGCAATTCAGATCCCACGCGTTTGACACCGCGCATCCCCAAAGTGGGGAAAAAGACTGAAAAAAGCCCATCCCTCTGTATCAGCACGCGTGAGAGGCAGAGCAAGAGCCAACGGTCCAGATCCCTCGCCGCATGAAGCACCTCGTGGTCCAACGCCGTGCCTGCATGCGCATGATCGGCGGCGGGCGAAGGGGGGGGGGGGGGGATCGGGAGGGAGGGGGGCTCTGCGATGGAGCCATGTGTTCCGTGGTTCCAAGTTGAGCATCGCACAGAGTACGTAAGGTGTCAAGGTACGAAAAGACGGGGGACACGCGGATAAGGTGAAGAGGTAGAGTTTGTGCAAATGCTGACGAGTCAACTCCCACCGGAATCCCAAATCGGCCTGCGAGTGCTCATTGGTCTCTCTGGCATGGTAATTCTCGCATAAACAGGATCGGATGAGAAAGGAACGGTGCCTGACCTGATTGATGGTTGATTGTGATTTGTGACGGCGAGTGTAAAAAAAAACTCAGAACAGATCATGGGGTTTCCCCGGACGCGGGAGGGCTGCCCTCTGTACGTGGTAGTTGGGACGGACCTGAGCTTCTCTACTCTCTCTGATCGAGAACCCCGCGACGTACTCTAGGTTACTGATTCATGGCACCGGAAGCTTGGGGCATTCACATGCTGACGACGAAGCTCATCTGCACGACGGGTGCTACACTTGCGACGTCGATTCGTCGAGGGGAGTCAGGCAAGGTGCTTCACATGCCAATCTCCTTGACACGGTTAACCTCATTGTTATAACATCATTGGTGGTAGTTTGGATTGTCACGGTATGGTTTGATGTCGACTGAAGGACAATTGACGACGACGACGACTCGTGATGGCGACCGGAAGGGGACCGGAGGTGTACGTCATTGGACGCTGGGCGTATGGGCACGCTTCACTTCCCAAGTCAATCGCTTTAGGTCGAAGGATAATACAGGGCGTGCAGGCTGGACTCTGGGGTAAAAATCCGGGGTAGGCACAGCATTGATGCATGATTCGAGAGGGTGTACAAGGAGTTCCTAAAGCCACATCGCCAACTTGGCAAACTCACAAAAGGCAAAGGGCCGCTGGATGCCACGGCACAAGATGAGACAACGCATCATGTGGAAAAGACAAGCCTACGCAGTGATGAGGGGGCTTGCTAGCCCGTCGACAAGGAGAAGTCACGTACCCCGAGTCGGCTCGACCATTGCAGAACTATTGACACCACCGAGCATCCTGTGAAGCCGCAAGCCGTCAAGGTTCCGACTACCACACGCCCGCACCAAGTGCTGTCTCAAGCAGAATGCGCAGAAGGGCCCCGGGGAAGAACATCCGGCGGCGCAGCTGAGCCGCACGGCAAGGCGGGCAGACTGTCCGTCACCCGCCCGTCCAATCCAGACACTCGCGAAATGCGGTTGAGCAGTCGGGGGCTGCAAAAGGAAGGGGATGGGTTGCATCGACGCTTTCCCCGAGAGGCTGCCGGCGCGCGAACGGCAAGGCACGGGCGGGAGCGAGCCAATCCCCACACGCGCCGGAATGCCAGGGCCCCGAGATTGGGGTGGGTGTGCCGACGGACGTCAGAGCGTTGCACCGGTGTGGGATGACTCTCTTGGAGTGCTGAGGGATCGTCGAGCCCGAGGGCAAACCGCGTGGGTGAAATGCTCGAACCCGTTCGTCTCGAGGTGTTTGTATGTTGAGGCTTGAGAAAGTGATGAGGACCTAGGGGAACTCTTCCGGATGTAGGGCTGATGAAGCGCACGGTGCTGGCGCTGATGGTCTTTTGGTCTCAATGGTTTCCCATCCCCAATCTGAACCACCATGTAACACTAACCTGCTAGTCTCGAGGAGTCTATAAGGATTACCAGTTGGAGGCCGAGGAGGTGTTCCCCGGGGAGCTGCCAGGGGGGGGCTAAAAGACGAGCCGTCAGAGCTCTATTGCCCGCGGGACGGCAGCCGAATCGACGGCGCCGGGCGACGGGCTGATGAACGCTTAGGGTAGCAACGAAAGGCGTTCGAGCTCGTTGCTTCAGGGCGAGACATTCCACAGGCAAGTAGGGCTGCCTGGATCGAACTCTCTCGGCCATTGTCGACGCTGAGGTTCGTGCTAAATCGCGAGTCTCAAGTCCGTCCGCCATGGAGAAACTAGAAAGCGTGTACAGACCGAGATGCATGTCTGTCACAATATCCGCCCCTTGCTCACCGGTGTGCCCATCCGGCCGACCAACATCACATGTTGCCGACTTGCAGCAGAAGGGGAAGAGTTCTGGCAAATTTCCGCCCCTCGGGCCATCTCCCACTCGAGACGTTTCCCCCGTAGCATCTCACATCCGGCCGAGATTGTCACAGCTTCCCCATACTGGCCTGCATGCGCCCTGCAGTTTGTCCCTCTTCCCCAGGGGGGTTTTGCAGATGAGGGATTCAGGGTATCTCCAACCCCCTCCCCCCCCCTCTCCTTTCACTCTCTCCCCTAGCACCTCCCGCAGAAAAGGGAAGGAAGATATGCCCAAAATGAGAACCACGGACCCGTCCTCCGGAAGCGGTGCTAGCCCATGGGCTTCGAACTGTCCATCTCCACAAATTCCTCTTGGCCGATCCAGCCTGTTGGGTTCTCCGGGTGTGCCCTCCCGGGTGCCCCGGCGAGCCGGTGAACCCCAACCCCAGAGCTGAGAAGGCCGTGGGCGGCCTCTGATTCGTGGGGTTTTCTTGCGCCAGCGGTTCGCTACTGCTCACACGACGGAGGGGCGCTTTGCTCTTTCGGCTCGTTCCTCCTTTTCCTGAATCTCGTTGGACTCGGACTGAACATGGGAAGACTTGGGCGGGATGGGGCTTTCTCGATCAAGAGAATAGGCATTCATGTTGCATCAGCTAGTCGATGTGCGTGGGCGTGGGCGCGGAACACGATGGTGGCGTTCAGGGGACTTGGTGAGGGGGTGGTGGTCAAGGGGTGCGAGGGACAATTGAAATATTGGAAAATTGAAATCAGAATAAACAGTTTTTTGTTTTCTGGTTTACCTGAGAAATATTGCAACCAATTCAAATAATAAAAAATGCCAGTATTCTTTTCTTCACGCACGTTTGGTGACCCGTCATATGGCCTTCCGTCTCCCCAACGTGATGGTGGTAAGAAGCGCTTACCGTCCCCGACCAATCCCGCCTCCATGCACAACCCTCCCGCCGTCCATTCGTCGGCCCTTTCGCCCCAATCACAACTCGTGCATTACCCTCCGCGTGACAGATGGACAGGATTATCGTCCAATCGCCTCGGCGACAAAGGCAGACATATCACAGTTGACCCCCAGCCAACGTTGCATAATTCGATCGTGCACAACGAATCCCGCCCGGCCGTCTGCCGCCCGAGTCCGATCGGCGCTTGTGTGGGGGGAGGGAGGGAGGTTTGGGTTTCCGGGGCGGCAGCAGGAAAAGACATCACCGTCGCGCCCACGATCCTCGAGGGTGTAAGACAGCCGCCTCGGAGGGTATCGGCGGCGGTTACGGGCGCGTTTCTTGTGGTGGTACACGGCAGTCATACTGGCGATGTTTTACATGGCTCAGGTGGTGTCATTCGACAAAGTGCCCGGCACCCGTGATGGAGGGCCTGCGTCTAGACTATGCTTCAAAGCCAGTAATTACCGTCCACTGTCTTAGTCCTTCTTCGAGGATTCACCACCGCCCACCCTCTTGAACTTCCTCGGGTCCTTGCGACTCATCAACTTGCGGTCCCGCGTGCCCTTTCCACCCTCCCAGAACCCCTTTCCTTTGCGCCCAATGACGCTCCTGCCGCAGAACCCGCACGCCTCGGGCGAGTACCGCTGCTCCCGGCTGCACCACCCGCACACCATCCGGTTCGCCCACTCGTTGACGTGGTTCTCGGCCTCGTCGTGGCACCGGTCGCACGGGTGCACCTTTGCGCAGCACGAGAAGCGGAACCACCGGTAGCTCTTCTTGTAGTGCGCGCACGCGCCGCGGTCCGGCAGGGGGGTGCCGGCGTGCAAGCCGAGCTTCTCGGCCTTCTTGACGGGCCCCGACGTCGGTGCCGCGAGGCCGCCGGATGTGATGGCCAGGAACTTGACTGTGGGGATCTTGAACGTGAACTTGCCGTGGCAGGAGCGGCAGACGTTCGTGGTGGCATCGCCGCGGACCGACACCAGACCCTGGCTGGGCGTCGAGCACTTTGCGCAGACGGGGATGAAGGTGCTGGGGAGCATGTCGGCGACGGTGCAGCCCGTGAGGTCTATGAAGCCCGCGCGCGTCGAGTTTGCGTGGACGAGCTGCTGGCGGAACTGGGCAGCAAAGCCCGTCGCGCATTTCCGGCAGCTCGAGGTCTGCGGGACCTCGTGCTTGAGACCGGTGATCTCGTTGATGGTCTTGCAGCGCGAGCACTTAACGCTGAGGTTGAGGATGGAGACCTGGAAGAGCTCGATGCTGTGGAGCTCGATTGTCGGGAAGGAGATGGATGTGCCCCTTTCGGGGGTGAGGCCGGAGGCGAGACTGGGCGGCTCCGCGTCGAGGTCGGCACCGCCTTCGTCCGAGTCGTCTTTCGAGTCATAGCTGTCTGACGTGTCGCTGTCTTCGTCGTTGGCACCGCCAGAACGGCCCCATTCCGGGGGTCTGGGGATGAATTTGATGTGGCTCCGGTCCTCGTCCGCCGCAGCCACTGGCTTTGCCTTTGTGACCGTTTCAGGATCCGGCGCCGGCTTGACCTGGGCGTCGGGCTTGGGCGGTGCCAGAGCCTGCTTGGCGAGAACGTGCATGTTCTGCGCCAGGTAGTTCAGGTGACTTGTGAGAGTCATCTGCTTCTGCTCCGCCGCTTTCTGCACGTAAAGCTCTTCGAGGGGTTCGGCGTCCTGCGATTCACACTCGTTGAGCTGGATGCGCAGCGGTTGGAGCGGGTAAAGCAGAGGCACGATGAGGTGCACCGTCTTGACGCCTTGGAGGCCGGAAGGCAGCTCGCTGCGGCGGCGGGGCTCAAGAGGGAGGGTGTAAACGATGCCGTCCGGTGAACGGCGGTACAGGGACAAGCGCCCCATGCGAGTCTCGAGCTGGCGCGACTCTTGTGCACGCCGTGCTTTGGCGGCCGCCATCTCTTCTTTCGTGAAATACTCATCTGGCGTGTAATGCCTGACGGGAGCTGGTGATGGTGCCTTGTCGATTTGGGTGCTGGGCGCTGGAGACGAGGCACTGGCGGCCTCGAGGTGGCGGGTATCTTTCGTCTCCTTGAAAGACACCAGCTTGATGGTGGCAGCTTCCTGCTCAGACAGAAAGTTCTCGAGGTTCTTGTCCAGAGCGTAGGTAAGGGCAAGGAGCGTCGCGCCCTGGCGCTCGCGGACGAGCCTCTCCCAGCCCCGTTCGATGTTGATACTGAAGCCGCGCGGGATGTCGCTATTCCGCACGTGCAGCACGGGGGTTGCTTCGGGGTACTCTTCCGGCACGCGGAGTTCGCACTGGAGGTGCTCCAGCTCGAACGGGAAGTCCGGGTCAGAGGGTTTGATGCGGAAGGCCAGGGTTGTGGTGCCGTCGGCGGCGGTGGACTCACGGGGCGAGTACCGCTTGCGCAGCTGGCCGAGCTGGTAGCCGCGGGGGTCCTTGGACTGGGCCTCCGGGACGGGCTTGGGGACCACGCGGTCGGTGCGGGGCAGGGGACGGCCTGCTGGTGGGTGTTGCCGCCCTGCTTTGTGAGGGAAATCATGCTGGCGGGTGAAAATGGAAACGTGCTCAACGTGTGATTAATGTTGATGAGCTGAACTGACGAAATGCAAAGAAACGATGTGATCTGCGGGCAGAGCAGTGCTTGTCGGCTGGGATGAGCTGGCAAAGGCTAGTACCGGGATTGCTGTCGAACTGAGATCCTTCAACTTGGATCCGGAGACGACGAATGAGCCGTATTTGACGATTCTGATGAGGGTGGCGACCGTGGGCTCCGAACCGGGTTTTGCGGGTGTGGTGGAATATCCGAGATGCTGCCCTGGCGGAAGCTGGGAGGCGTTGCATTAGTCGACATGAGTCATAGTGGGGCGCCAATCAGCTTTGCTTAACAAATGAACGCTGGAATCTGGCGGTACCCTGTTAGTAAATACCTTCTTTCTCAGCTCCTCATACGTCGCTTGCAGCCAAAGGCGGTCCTGCCGGTCGACTCATCGTCTATATTTTATGAGCTAGAACCGCCAAAGCTCACAAATGACTGTGTATGCATTTTGAGATGAAATCCCACCATCTTGCAGCTCATGTGTCAGTTCGTCGGGTATCGTTACGCTAGTTACATGGTTTCCCGAGATCTATCTGCGCCCAGTTTTCTTGCCTTCGGCCGCATTGCGCCCCATCAATGACGGGCGTATTATGTACGTGTAGGTGTCGTGTACTTGCTGTACTTGCTCCGGAGGAAAATAACCTTGCCGTTGATTTTCTTCGTTTCAGCCAGAAGCCCACCGCAGTAGCACGATTATCCCGCCTTGCAACGTTGGTTCCTCAGAGCAAGCATTGGCATTGTCCATTCTCATCTCCATACTACCATTTCGCACATTAATAAAAATGTACTGAACAAACCCACAAAAATTACAGAAAGATCAATGACCTCCTCACCCCGTATTATCCTGCCGCTCTCTCGCTATCTCGTCTCATTCCTGATTTTGAGTACCCTTCTCAAGTTTCGCGAGTGAATATTCTCCGTAGGTTTTCATTGGGAGTGAAGACCCCCAGTGCCAGCCCTCTGTTCCATATCATCATCGATTGGTTGTGCTAAGAGAGCCTTTAGATTGGCGAATCGTCGAGACAGCGTGTGTGGTCTTGTTGATGGCATAAAGCAAACATTCCTGTTCTCGGGCATATATGACTTTCTGTTGTGGTATGGGAGACTGAGAAGTCTCGACTGGGGAGGAAAGGAACCATAAAATTGAAGAGGGTCGTTATTGTGACGATCACGCCATGTTCGCTCAGAATACATCGATACTAGGCAACTCACTGCTTAGACTCTATCTTGATGACAGCTAACTTTTACTTACTGCATTACAGCCAATCTGCCGGCAGCAAGTACATATTATGGCGAGTGGTATGCTCCTCAGTCGTCCATGCCGAGCCAACGGCCAACGCTTCCGTAGAGCCGGGACCGAAGTGGGCCTTGTTCGCACCTTCCTCCCTGCGCCGGCCGGTCGGAGGTCTGGGGAAGTGGGACCCGGATCACTCCGACGAAAGACTCGAGCTACACTCACGAATTGGGAAGACGGTATGACAGTGGTGCATGCGAACCAAGCACGGTACCATCAAACGCAAAACCCTTGCATGAGATGAGCTGTGCATTGAAAGTGAGTCGCCGTGTCCCACTAATGGAGGCAACCCCAAAGTCACTGTCGGCTGTGCATGAACGGGCGTTTGGTGGAGCAGATGCCACACGGCAGACATGGCAATCAAAGTCAACAGAAACTATGTGGCCATTTCCCCACACAAGTTTCCATGTTTGCTTTTTTGTCTTCAATATTAAATTCATTGTCCCATTTGGGAGATACCAAAGAACGGGAAGGCCCAGGCCCGGAAGCCTGAGCGGGGACGAAGCTTGAGATCCAGTCGTCTGACTGAGGCGACGTTGTAGTGAGCCTCGACGACTCTCATGACCGAGAAGATCGAGTATGCCCAACGTAAGCCGTGCTCACAGTGTAACAGAAACTGATGTGCTGGTGAAGAGCAACGCCTGGACTGGTAGTATGTCACCGCATGATAAGCAATCAGGTATGAGCTGGCGTGTCTCAATAATGTGATGCTCAGCGCAGGGCACCCTCATGGCGGCGATGCCATGGCACAATGTCACCGGAACCCGCCCCAGCATCAACAGAATGGTTGCTCACTCGATGCCCAACAACGCCTTTTTTACGTATTGTTGGCGGGCGAGACGCCGTCCGGGGCTCGAGGCGGCAGAGGGCGAGCCTGAGACTTTTGTACAGTGACATTGGCCGTTTTCTGCGAACGTGACAAAGCTGAGAAAGCCGCCGGGTACGAACCAGGCACACCGACAATCCGGCCGCGGGCGGGCGGGCGGGCGGGGGGGCCACTTGCCGCCTCACCTGCGCTTTTCTCGTCCTTGTCTCCCGCATATGCGGGCGCCGAATGACCCGGAGATGAGAGGCTGCCGTTGAACTCTACCCCCTCCAGGGCGGGGGTCAGGCAGTTGGGGGTATCAGCCGCCACTCCTCCCTCCGTATCACTGCCTTGGGCGGCGGCTGCAGCAGGACATGCGGACCCATCTAGAATCGGGTCGATCGCGGATGCTGCAGAGGAGAGAGGAAGGGGGAGGGGGAATAGTTGCACGCTTTGCTGATCGTGGTGGGAGCACGACAGACGCCACATGGCCGAGGGCCAGCACATCTCGCGAAACGGTGCACTTTCTCTCCCTGGGACGCAGCGGGTTCATGGGTGCAACTCACAAAACGGTTGGCGACCACCGGTCTAGCCGGGGCGGAGAACGGGGGGGAAGACATGCAGTCCACGGCCAGGAAAGGGTGTGAAACCAGCTGGCGGTTTGGCACAGTACGTCTTCGTATCTGGGAGGGGCCGCTGAACGCCAGTTGGTCCGGGGAACGCGACCGGATGCACTGCGCTGCGCGGCCTGATGCAAATGTAAGGCAAAGCGCGGAGCGAAGGGCAGGCACGCAAAGATAGGGATTGGAGACGGGCGAGTGGACGAGACGGGACGCTTCGTGATCGGCCCGTGACGAGTAAGGTTGACAGGCTGTCAAACGAGTCCAGGTCCTTCTGGAAATCCGGTCAGTCGCCATCTTGGTTCTCCGATCTTCACTTGGACAGCCAGCAGCAGACCGGCGCCGCGGAATGGACGAGGGAGGATTCGTCGGGAGATGCAGCGGGTGGTGGTGGTGGTGTAGTGCCCGACCGGAAACGCCGCCGTCAGTCAGTTGATTCTATCGCGCATATCTCGAAGCTGGGGCAGGCTGCGTGGTCGGCAACAGCTGTTCTCTCATCTCGATGTCGACGCGACGCTTGAAGGTTTGGGCAGCGAGAGGCTGGCAGGTTTGGCTCATCAGCCGATGCCTCGAGCTTGACAAGCTGGTGCCTCGGACGGGCTGGTGGTGAGTGAGTTTGTTCCCCATCCCCCCAAGGCCAGGGCGTGTTCGATGACGACTGTTCTGAAGGGTTGCTCGCGGCGGAGGGGATTGCGACGCTGCGGGAGGTAAGGGAGAGAGAGGATTGCCAGCGCATCAGCGAGAAGGGGACCCGGTGACCATGGTGTTTATGCAAGTCCAAGTCAGCCTCCCGAGCGGTGAGGGACGGGAGTTTGGATTGGGTTGAGCCGTTCGCGTGTGTTTAGGGGGTGTGAGTGAGCCTGTACAGGGTAGGTGGGAGGGAGGTGAAGAAAAGGTGAGGTGAAGGGGGGCGGGGACTACGGTGGCGGACCGTTTGGCGCCATCGGCCTTTAGCACCTGTAGCTGTCGTTGGCCCCCGCCGCCGTCATCTGGGGAAAACGGTGGGGCTGCTGTCGAGATGGTGGTGTTGGTGTTGATGTTGGGGGGGTGTTGTCGTTTTGACGGTGACATGCCGGATATTTGGCTGAAGGATATTGAATATGATTTATTCTTCTTATTTTGTTTTTGTTTTTGTTTCTATTCTTTTTTTATCATGTTTCTTTCGATTTCCGGGCTATTAAATTTGTTTTCGATTTGGCTCAATCAGATCCGACGCCGTCATCAAGGTTTCCGAGATGTTGGGAGATGCGCGCCTGGGCTTGCAGCAGCCAACCCAGCAGCCACCCTCACCACATGTCGCCACCCCCCAATTTCGGTCCTCGATTGCCCTCGTCCATCCCAAACCGTGGAACGCAGGCAGACGTTTATCCGGCGTGGGGGATCTTTTCGATCTTCGGGTCGATAGACTCGCATCTCGCCTGGAGGCTCGTCAGTGCCAGTTTCAGTCGACGTTTGTCTTTTTGGGAAGACGCGCACCATGGTTTTGCCATCAGGTCTGCGGTCAGGGTCGTTCCGCTTCTGACATGCTCGCAAACTCAGAAATCCTCTGGAATACAATTTAATTGGAAAAACGAAAAGACTGAAAAGGAAATTCTTGACAGTCGCATCTTGCCCAGTCTCGTATGGCTACCAGGATACCGGGCCCAGGTCTGATGGCACCTCATGCAAGACAGTCCATGTGTTCACCACGGCTGCAATTGACTGGTCTAAATTCGGACTCTAGGTTGCCACAAGGAGCTCGGAAAGAGCCCTTATTGAGCGTTGACTGGCAGAATGTGACTCGAATCCGAGAGCCCAAACCTCATCAAATGAGATGAGGCAAGTCCAGTCGGCTCCCAGTGTATCCGTACCCATAGGCTTTGGCCCACCTCAGGCTGTAGGCCTTTGGTCTTCCATCGATGACTGCAGCTGATGCCTGGGCTGTGCTTACAGCGAGAGGGTTCCATTGCATACTCGTAATTCTGATTCTGGGACCCTCGAGATGCACCGCCTCGGGTCGTACTGCACCAGCCCCTATGCAGGGCAACGATCAAGTGGCTGATCCCTGGCCGTGAGATACGGGGGCATTGAGGTCGTGAGGGCATCCCAATGGTCCAGCTACGGCATGGGAGGACGGGGCTCGCGGCGTTGCACCGAACAGGTCTCAGTGAGCGCCTAGCATGGCATGGGGGTGGATGAATGAGCCGCGGCTACAGGCGGTAAAAGTTGCCAAGGTCAAATCTTCAGTGAGGCAAGTATTAGGTTCAGGCTGGACCGAGTCGCGCCAGCATGTGTCATCTCATCGCGCAGTCGGGGGTGACTAACAACCGGCATCCGCATGTGGCATGCTGGAATCTGGGGGGGAATAAACGAAGGGCTTGCCACGTCTTTCTCCCAGTTTCCACGGTTGATTTTTTTATTTTTATTTTTTGTACTTTTAATATTCATTTATTTAGTTATTTCGCAATATTTGAAAACACCGGATCACGATGCAATGTTATTTTCAGCAGAGGCTAACCGATCCCCCATCCGTGCGGCCCTTCTTTTCTTCACTTTGATCTTCCACCATTCTTCACCACTGCCACCACCACCACCACCAGCGCATCAAGCTCGCTTCTTCCCGGAACCACATGGTCGACCTTCCGCGGGAGCTAGCCTTTGGAAACGCGCCAACCACACGGAGCCCCTGCGCTTCGCGGGCTCACATGACTGGAAACTGACATCACCGCCCAACGGTCTACCCGCCAATTGCTGGGTGTGTGTTTTCTTCGCACTTGGTACTGTCCGCGCCGCCGAGGCATCTCCCTGGCTTAGCCGCCAGTGCGCGCGCGCACTTTCAGTTTCTCTCAGTCTCTTCCTCTCTCCCTCCCTCACCCTCGTCCCGTCCACCTGAGACCAGGTGGTCCAACCCTCCCTCCCCATCGAAGCCTTTCCCGTCGCGGTCGTGGGCCCGGCTCACAGAGATGGGTTCGTGGCCTGAGACACCAAACCCGACAACGCGACGGCGCAAGACACCCCATGCGGCGGTTATTCTGGACCCTCTGGGCGGGGGAGCAAAGGGTTGTCGACCGTGGGCACATGCTTCGTTTCTGACGTAGCCGTCCGGCCTGTGAATGCCCTCATCGAAGCCGATGCGTCTGCATCGTACCTGATTGTCGGAATCGAGATAACCAGGGGGCCAGGGTGAGCGACGATCTCTGTTTTGACGGGTGAGGGCTCCTGACTTCTCTGCCTTCTGTCGGTCCTGTGGGTTGATGTCACTTCCGCCCCGTGCCTCCGTTGCGCGGTCCGGGCCACGGGGCTCGCGGATGGTCTTCGTGACTTGCCTCGGCACCCGCTCTCGGTAAAGGGAGAAGGGGCTCCACGTCAACGTTCTCGGTCTGCAGAACATCTCATGACATTGAATCGCGATGTCGAACAATACTATCGTTTTCTTCCTTTTACAAGCCCCTGGGCGCGGGAGTAGCTTAGCTACGAAGAGAGACCCCCCCCCCCCCTTCAGCGTTTGCTGTCCCCGTTGGCGATGTCTTACCGTTGCCGTGCCAGCGGTGGGATTGACATCATCGGCCGAGACTGCACATGTCAAGAAGTGAAGGGCAGAGGACACAAAGGCGCACGTGTTCAAGCACACAACGACCCTCTCATCATCATGTTTCTCAGAGGAGCAGGGTCCTGTCTCACTTGCTCCGTCCAAACGTCGAAAGCTGTCACCAGTCCAGCTAGCTAGCTATCAGGCAATTCGTTTCGACGCGGCGTGGCTAATTAATAAACTGCAACCAGACGAAAAGAATGGCCACCGGAGGGTAAAGCTGTTCAAAGAAAGCCAGGGCGTTGAGGCTTGGTCTGATGTAGTTAGCACGCGTTGCGCATTTTCGCGGCTTGGGGTTGAGGCTTGACACGTCCATCTATAGACTGTGGCCCACGTGCTTGATGTTTTTGGAAAGCGGTGATATCCACTGTTTGGTCTCGAGCTTCCCTCAAAGGCCCCGGTGAAGAGTCTATCGACCGAAGATGTCTTCAACCTCTGAAGGCTGTAATGTTGATACATCAAGGCCGGGGTTATTGGGGGTTGAGATTGAACGCAATCTTGTTGAGCAGGATGAAAACTGGCCCCGACATCGGTCCTTCCTTCCTCTGGTACTAGACCTTATGGCCGGATGAGATAAAATCTTGGGAAGGAGGGTCTTGTTCTGCTCTTCCCCTCAGAAAGCGATTGCTCTTTCCCAAACATCCAGTGCGGTAGGCAGCTGCCGATGTGTCCCCGGTGAAGGAAAGAGCACCACTCTCCCTCGTGGGTGCCTCTTTTCCCTCACTTCTTGTTCGTGCCGAAAACTTTTCCATCCAATGCATGCTCTTGATGCCTATCTACTTCTGCTTGACAAACATCCCCCCTTGCCATTCTGCTCCTTCATTCACTTAGTCCTTGTACATGACAAATGACACTACCACAGATCTACCAATGGACGTGTAGGTACGCCTCAAACTCTCCTCCAGTGCGGCGCTGATTTCTCCAAGCCCAGAACCTGTCGAAGTTCTCGCTGCACAAGGACCGACTGCTGGTTTCAAGCCCATCAATGGCCACAAGAGACCTCTAACGCCAACCTCTTTCGCCATAACCTCGTCGCCTTCTAAGCGATTGGCAGCCACCCCTGAGCATAAAATAGGGTGCCGGACTCTTCTCGAGCATCCCCTGGTGTTTGAAACTGAGTCCGCGTCCGTGAAGCAATGCCTTCTGCCTGATCTTTTGCAAGCTTTGCCAGGTGGTTCGGAGGCAGCAATCGAGATGCCCGAGACACCGCCAAGCACTGTGTCACTTCCTCGGGCACACGTCGCTATGACCCAGCTCGAGGAGACAGACTCATGGATGAACGAGTTTGTGGACTTGGACACAGCAGGCGGCGAGTGCTTCGTTTCGTTCGAGAAACCCCCGGCTGGCTACCGCGATGGTATAGCTCAGACTCTGTCAAACGCAGGTGCAGTCATAGCCAGGCCGTTTCCGGGCCTTGACGTCGAGCACCTCGAGAAACCAAGACGAATGGAAGACGTCTCTATGAACCGCAATCACTCAGATGACTACTCCATTGAGGAATCTGACGAAGAGGAGATGGCTCAGCTACTGGTCGCCGTGGACGACAACCCTGCACCCATACTTCCCTCGGGCGTGGTTCGGAAGATGGATCAGGACTCGAGATCGGTTGAGAGCTCCAACTCAAAGCTTCAGTTCTCTTCCTCTGGCGTAAGCAACTGCGATATCTCACAAGCTGACTTCTCGGAGCCCGATCTTCTTGACGAGGATATCGACTGGGACGTGGTCACTGCCTGCGCAAAGGAAGCGACTTCGAGCCCCATGACAAAGCCCCTTATTGAGGCTGCCCGTATACGTACAAAGAATGCGTTATCGACTCCAGCCCCAATCATCAGGCCCCCCTTTCCCTCGAAGATGAGAGATCGCTCCGTCATCGTTGGACTTTCCTCTGTGAAAATGATGCGCACCTGCTTCAGGATTGGAGAGCTCCTGAACGCCCACGCCAAGTGCGCACGAGAGAAGCAAGACGTGGTATTGGAATTGTTCGCGAGGGTGAACTACTCCAACCGGGAGACCTCCGCAAAACTACAGCACTTTCAGCTACGGGACCTTTTCACTGACAGAGAGCCATATCTGAGTGGCGCCTTGAGGGGCTGGAAGCTCCATGGCTCCGTTGACTACCAGAGCAGAACATTTCTCGGACCCGCCGGAAAGAACAAGCTATGCCGATGCATTTGCAAGCTCTCAGAAGACAAAAAGACGGCCATCGGACGTTCGGCAATGGTTTTGTCCATCAGAGAGACGAACTGGGATGAGGTTCACTGGACGTTGAGGCTAGTAGCCAGGGACGCGGCGTCAGATAGCTGTGGTCGTGATGAAGGAGTGATCTCTTCTGCCACTTGAATGATTAACATTGATGATATGGGTAGGAGATTAGAGGCGAAACTTGCTATATCTTGAGGATTCCTATTAGATTGGGAGACAAATAGGCGCAACATCACACGTGGTCAGGTAGCAGAATGAAGATGTTTCCGAAACAGACAATAAGACTTTAAGAATGTCCATCGCGCGGCAGGAATCTCATGTAGTGCCCTTGCCTATGCAAAACCAGTCCTCAAAAACTCAGTTGCTTGCAGAAAGAATCTTGAAGTTCAACATCAACCCCAATGAAGTAATGCCGGCATCGTTCCGAAAAGTCGAGTTGCCAGTTGCTTGATTGCTTGACTGCGCTGCGTCTGATCAGTCCGTCCAACCGCGCGAGAGGAACGACGACGCAGACTCTTGAAGTTTTGGTACACTCTTTTTCGTATTACTAGGGCTCATCAACAACGCAACAAGGATTCCATCAGTTTCTGACTCTCAGGCTACGCTTCCATGTCGACACTACCATGCCGGCAAGACATTGGATCGGCAGGCAATACCAATGATTTTCTTGCTGCGCATGCTATAGAAACCATATCTCATTCATGTCATCAGGAAAGACGGTATTCTGTCCAGAAAGGTGCAAAGTCTATGGTCTGTGGGCTGCTACCTGGCAATCACCTCCTGTTATATTGGATTTGGGGTTTGATTAGGCAACCATTCCTGTAAGCGGCCCTGTTGCTCAGTTTAGTTTGAACGTTCATCAACCACACATGTGACTCTTACTTCAGAATGCAGCTGTCAAAAAGGTTATGGTGCTGTCTCGTGCGAGTTCTTTAGTACTGACATAGTACGGGTAGAATGTTAGGATGCGAAAGCCATTGTTGGCAACATACGTGAAGACCGACTTGCAGTGGAGGCCTAAGGCCTGGAGACTGGAAATTGGCAAGTATTCTGGCATAATACTGTAGAATAAACCTTTTGTAGGTGTGCTGTATGACGATTGTCTTCGAGTCAGATTGTAGTGTGCCTGAGGTGAAGGTGGAAAGCCTGGGAGAACCGAGGATGATTGCATATAGCTACATCAGATGGCCCCGAGATTCGGGGTCTTTATGTGAATTACCTCAAACTTACTCGCCATGTACAGATCAAGGTAACCATATAAGCGCCTAAGTGCTAGTACAACATATTGCCCGGACAGAAAGATGGCTTTACGATCAGTTAGGGTTTTCTTTGTTTAGCATAACAATCCACTTACGATGAGAAACATACATGTATGTAGAGTCTCTTCTTCTATTTCTCTGTGCATCTATGCCTGTGGAATTGCCCACTAATGCCAACTACAACCAATGTGCGAGGAGTTGGAGAGCCATCGGCGGACCACTTAAACCTACTACTTTCGCCAAAGCTCTTGAGGGCTTCTCTTTGCTAATTGCATAGCGTCGCCAACAGACGTTCCCTCAACGAAGAACTGGGTCGTTGCTTTGTTTGACTCTTTCAACTCCGTAGACGTTTTGACCCATTGGATCCGCTCTTCTACCTAGCGATTTCACGGCAGTTCAAGCTCACGCTTCTAGTGCGCGTTTTTCCAATCTGGCCTGGCCGCCTGGGAATTGGATTCGTCTCTGATAAACTGCCCCGAGGTTCGGCTTTGCCTTCTTTGCTACTGCACCAGATGGGCCAATAGTCGAAATCTTTGGCCGTTTGGATTTCTTCATACCATGTCCGCACCAGATTCTGGTATAAGGCTAGACCGTCCTTAAGGCTGAGTACGAGTGGAGCGGCGCTTAAATGCGTCTCATTTGCCAGAATTCATCAGAGCTTTCAGGCCCGAAGAGGGCGAAGCTGGTGTTGGCAGGCATATACCTTACTATCGAAATCAGATGAGACGGACGGGCATATTAGCCGCAAGTACAGCAAGCTTTGGTCCACCTTGTCACCAGCGGCATCTTTGTGGGCTGTCAAGATCTGAGACTCATCCATGTCAACTCCGTTTCGGCGATATGAAGAGGTAGTTACCAGGGACTTGCTGATTTAACTGTTGTGTGCCAGAACAAGCTGCTAGACCTAACTTGGCACGTTTTATCTAGTCAACGGGCCATCAAAGGTAAAACGTTTTGGTAGCCAGTTTGGTCCAGATATGCGCCAGCTATTGTAGACGATTATTCCCATTTCAGCGGGCTGGTGCGTATGGCCTTCGCTTTAACAAGTATCCAGAAGGCTACTGATGGTAAATCTACGTCCAGACAATGGGCAATACATAAGGACAAAGAGTGCCCATATGCCCCATTTCGGCAACTGTATAGATATATGGACACATATATGGTCATCTGTTTGGTAAAACTATCAATTAATTCAATTGACTGCTTGTCACTGGTGCACCAAATTAGCCAGCCCCTTGCTGAAGGGCTACAGATCTCAGCCCCTTTTCAAGATTGGACAATCCTGGTTCGCCGATTGTCGAGCACGATTTGAGTCAACCGAACTTACGAACAAAGCGCATGCTGCAGGAGCCCTGTACTCTGGTAAGCTAAACTGGTCGCATTTATTGCCACCCACCAAGGTGATCTGCCAGGGATAGAAAACGGAGAGATGACCAGTTGTGCCTGGGAGGTTTCATAATATTATGAGACCGAATACATGTGTGAATAATGAAACCGGTTTGGGTGATTCTACCGTTGTGCACAAGTTCTAGCACTTGAGCTCAGCAATGAGCTTATGGAGATACAGAGATGTCCTTGTCTAGATGAAGGGAGGTCTTGTGAGCTAACCGGTCTCTTATACAGGTAGATGACCAGGGCTCGTATACTTGAGTATTCGCTTGAGGAAACTGATAATACACATGCAAAGGACTACACGACCGACCTTTCAGCTACTGCAGCCCTAGGTGATATTTCCATCCTTTTAGGCATGGCTGAGTATTTTCCGGGGCAGAAGGAGCAGGAAAAAACAAGAGGGCCAGATCGTAAACCTCCTAGTGTCTGAGGTTTTAGTTCCGCCAAGACGGACATGGCGTAATTGGGATCAAGCCCACATTCGTCGTGAGTTTAATTCCAATCCCTTGCTTACAGCGAGTCGTTGCTTGGTATAAGGGACAACTCAACTTGGAATGTTTCGAATTACACTGCGTTCTCTAACTCCTAGCTGTCGGCCAGCCACTGTGTTGGTTTCTGAATTTGGACACTTGCTTGTCTTTATCAAAAACACATATCATTCATGGCAAACGTTCGCCGTCATAACGTGAGACATCAACGCGCCATGTATTCATGGTTATTATGAGAGCACGAACCCATAGTCTGGTTTTGACCCTACACAACACCATCCGATACTATTCGCATCTTCTTTACCTGCTACTCATGCCTGCACTTCACGTCTAATAGCTCATTTCCTCAGACTCGACCCTATATCACAAGGAACCCCGAACCGTCAAAACCCGGACACGAAACGGCAAAGGCTCAATAATTTAATCAAGATGCATTTTTCCGTGGCCCAGCTGCTCGTGGCTTTGCTGACGACAACTCCCGTCAAGCAAATGACGGCAACAGCGGCGGTAGGGGTGGATCAGAACCAGTTCGCGATCCCGTGCGTGATGGACTATGTCGGATGCGTCGCAATCCCAAACTTCAACGATGTGTTCTCCCGTCTTATCGGCAATTCCAATATGGAACCTAGGCAATGTCAAAGATTCTGCGCCGGCCTAAATGCAACGTACGCATCTTTATATGGTAGTTACTATTGCAGATGCAGCGTTGTGCCGCTGACGGTGCAACCCAATATCATGCCCGTCGCCGAGTCTGCATGCAACAACTTATGCCTAGGCAATTCACAGGCGAACTGCGGTGGCGAAAATGGCAGGCTCAACCTGTACAAGGTGGCTGCTACTACTGTGTGCACGACAGCCTCTACGACAACGACTTCTTCGACGACCTCTTTGCCAGCCTCCCCGACTACCTCAACTTCGCCGATCTAGTCAGCTTCATCAGTAGTCCCTGGAACGCCTCCTATATTAGTGCCAGCTCCTCTCGCGCCATTCAAATACATAGGCTGCGGAGGCCTTGACAACGATGCCGTTAGCGATGTCGATCTGCTTTTTGTCACTCTACTCGCCGGGGATCCAGCACGCTGTCAAACTTACTGCCGAAACAACAACCGGACACTCGCCATGATGTCGCCAGATCTTTGCACCTGCAGTAATCTAGTTCCAGGGGCGACTTCAGCTTTCACAACCTTGTTTGCCCCGGACGATAGCCTTTGCACAACCAGCTGTTCCAAATTCCCTTCAGCACCTTGCGGTGGCCCTTTCTTTATGAAAACACCCGTATATACTGTGTACAAGCTGGAGTTGGCCGCAGTCGTTTCCAGCTCATCATCGACATCCTCTACTTCGACTACATTCGTTTCGTTGTCCACTCCCGCTAATTCCGTATCTGAGAGTAGCACGAGTTCTAGCAGCCGCGCAGTCACGACTACATCGAGCTCGACTACTCGCTCGAGTAGCGGATCTACAAGGATAGCACCATCTTCCATCTCGTCAGGGGCCATATCCAGCATGGTCACTTCATCTACCACCCAAACTGGCTCTCCAGCCTCGTCGCCTCTTTCTAGTTCCTCTCCCACCTCACCTACGACTTCGCCGTCCTCAACTACTCTACCTCTGGGTTCTTCAACGTCTCTTGTAAACACGACACCTGCATCCGACGGCTCTTTATTGGGAACCTCGATCGATGCTTCTTTCACGACAAACGCAACCCCGTCGCTCTCATCCATATTCACATCCGGTCCCACCCCCGAATCTACTAGCAGCTCCCAAGGACTAGCCGGTACTCCTCTAATATTCACGGTTATCGCCGTCGAGCAACCTTTACCTACTCAGTCAGCCCCCTCATCCTAGATTAGGGGCTCAATAAACAATCTTCATTTGCGGCTTAAACAAACAGTTATGCCTAGTAAATCTAGACATCCGCTGCGAATACTGCGCCACTCCGTTTTTTTTCGAAATAACACATCCACCCGATGGCAACCCACGAATATCGAAAAAGAATCAAAACTGTCCTTGTACACTTCGTCGGCAATAACCACGGCTTTGATTTCCCGAGTTCGGCTGGTTTATCTGTCCCTCGGTTTCATTGTAGCAGGTCATCAGTCTTGCTGTCATGATGATCTCATCCTGTGCAAGGGAACAAACAACAAACATGCACTTGATAGTTGGATGCTTTATTCTCACCGTTTGATAAAGCTCCGGGATGATCACCTCAGAGAGATTCGACTTACCCTCGGGAGATCAGCCTTTGTCGGAACGAGAACCCTTATATCTGCCAAGACCCTTCGTGCAGCAAACTGGCAATTTTCCACCACTTGTATCAATCCCCCCTCACTCCACGCCCAACCCCGCGTAGGTCATCGCGCATTCCATCTTCGGGTTAAAACCGCCCGCAAGCGATCGTCAAATCATTCTTCAACGGGACAGAAGCACTTCCTCGTCATCCCTCAACTGGACCAAATCTCTCAAGCTCTCACACCAATCCCTCGCAAAATGTCACTCTCCGACTACAACGAAAAGCTCACAAGCTCGCTCGAGCAAGCCAAGCTCGTGCCCGGCTCGGCGGCGGTCCTCATCCCCGAGGGCTTCAAGCCGACGACCAAGCTCGATGTGTCGTTTGCAGGCAAGGCCGTCGACGCCGGCAACTTCTTCCGCGCGCGCGAGTGCAAGGTCGCGCCGAGCGTCTCCTTCGCCGCCGAAGCGGACGTGTCGTCGGGCGCATCCTACACGCTCTTCCTGACGGATCCCGACGCGCCGACCCCCGACAACCCACAGTTCGCCTTCTGGCGCCACTGGGTCCTCCCCGGGCTCCAACCCCTCAGTGGGGGCGCCGTGGTTGCGGAGACGAAGCCGGCGCTGACAGAGTTTCTCGGACCCGGACCCAAAGATGAGTGAGTTTTGCCTTGTAACTGTCAAGGAGCTATGCAGGAGAACAAAAGACGTTTACGATGAGAGGCTAACCCAACTGTCTCTCCTAGCTCAAAGCCGCACCGCTACCTCTTCCTGCTCTATCGGGAGCCCAACGGCATGGATCTCAAGAAAGAAGACGTTGGCGGGGAGGAATTTGTTCAAAGACGGTCATGGAAGCCCGCTGAGTTTGCCGAGAAGCATGGTCTGAAGCTGGTCAGCGTCAACTGGATGACATGCGCCGGCGACGGCTGGACAGAGTAAGTGGGGTTTGTTCTGTAAAGCGATGCGCTGCCGTTCAAGTTTACGACACGCCAACAAGGTCGCCTCCAGTCCAGTTGATAAACAACATCTAGAAGCCTGGAAATAGAAGTATAATCATCACATAGCTTATCCTTTTTCGGTATCTCTGATTCTGTCTTCTATCTTTTGCGGCATGGTCTGCGTAGACTCGATAAACGGCGAATTCGATGATCCCGTCAACAACCTCAGTTGTTCAGTGGTCCTATAGTCTAGTTGGTTAGGACGTCGGATTCTGATTATTCTCAGATCCTTCCGTAGGCCCAGGTTCGAATCCTGGTAGGACCTGTTGTTTTGATGTGGGACCGGGATAATAATTCCTTGATAGTTTTCTTTTGTGTTGCTGTTTTCCTACTGCTGCAGCACAACCCGTTTACAGCCTCCAGAGCTCTCAATACGGAATTGGTCAAGCAAAAAAAGCAAGTATTGCCTGTTTGTTTTAAGAAAGCTGGGTAATATTATAGGTGATAGATAATAGGCTGTCTGTTGATCTTTTTTGTCATCGGTCAGGCCTTGCAGATGTCTGGTTACAGTGGCCTGTGCCCAACCTCCAGGACCCTAAGCCCCTGATGCGATCTCAATTTCAGCTATCTACCACCGGAATCGACGCTAAAATTCGACCACCCGCCATCAACGTCCCGGCGGTTGAGCCCGTCATCGCAAATTCGGCACAGACGTCACCTTCACCTCAAGACGCGTCTTCCGTCGCGTCTTACAATAATTATCATGATGCAGCGCGGCATTGTGCGCCGACAAAGCTCACTCGCGGCGGCAAAAAGAATTTTTGCCCAAGCCGACACTGAGCCAGACAACGAGCCGTTCAAAGCAATCTCAAGAACACGCAGAGCCGCCGCCAAACAACCACCACCGCCGGCGCAGAAAGACGCGTCTGAAGAGGCAGACTTCACCCCTCCCGTCGACGACGATGAAGTGAACGAAACCGCAGAGCCGCAGCCCAAGCGGCGCAAAGTTGAAAAGACTCGGAAAGCAGACACCGTAAAACTCCATGCAAGCCTCTTCGGCCCATCTGGAAAGGCAACGCAGGACCCCTGCTCGCCTCCGTCAAGAACGCACGCCGTTATGTATCACCGTCCTCTGCTACTAGATGGCCAACCCGGACGCGATGGACGAGATGCTCTCCTTGCCTGGTTCGACTCTACCAGCACCACGCGCGGCATGCCTTGGCGCAAAGCCTGGATCGACCCGCGAGATTCCTCTGACGCCACTGACCTACGTACCGCCCTCGAGAAGCGCGCCTACGAGGTATGGATCAGCGAGATTATGCTGCAGCAGACACGCGTCGCGGTGGTCATTGACTACTGGAACCGGTGGATGGCGCGGTGGCCGACGATCCAGGACCTCGCCGCGGCGGAGCCCGAGGACGTGGTGAGCGCGTGGCGCGGGCTGGGGTATTACAGTCGCGCGACGAGGATTCATGAGGCTGCGAAGCTGGTGGTCAAGGACCCGAAGTGGAAGGGCCTGATGCCGGCCGAAACGGCGGAGCTTGAGGCCAACGTTCCGGGGGTTGGGCGGTACACTGCCGGCGCCATTTCGGCCATCGTGTTTGGGAGGGCGGCGCCGATGGTTGATGGCAATGTGCTCCGGGTACTGAGTCGACAGCTAGGTGTGTTTGGGAACGCAAAGTCGGACAAGGCGGTCATTGACTTGCTCTGGGCTGCCGCGGATGCGCTTGTCAAAGCCGTAGCAAAGGATGGCCCTGCCAGCCAAGGCAACGAGGATGAGGAGGCGTCGACGAGCGATAGGCCCGGGCGATGGGGGCAGGCTTTGATGGAGCTTGGGAGCACCGTCTGTACGCCCAAGCCGAACTGCGGCGAGTGCCCCGTCACGTCAACCTGCCGGGCCTATGCAGAGGGCTTGTTGGTGGCCGCCAAACCAAAGAAAGCTGCCAAGGTGGAGGACATTGAGGACTTGTGCTCGATATGCGAGCCCTTCGAGGAAGCGGTAGAGGACGCCGCGGCCTCAGGGGAAGACTCTGATGCCGAAGCGCCAAAGACGGCCAAGGGAGCCAAGGGAGCCAAGAAGGGGACGAAATCTCGGCCGGTGGCGAAGCAGGCCACCTTGTCCGCCTTCTTCTCCTCCAAGACGCCCAAGAAGGAAGAGCCTCCCTCCACGAAAAAGCCAGTGGTCGACGCGAAAACACTAGAGATCATCGCCGATCACGCCAGAAAGTTTCCGCTCAAGGTGGTAAAGAAAGCAGTCCGCGAGGAGGAAGCCCTCATCTGCGCCGTCCGCCGCGGCGACGGACTTTTCCTACTTCACCGACGCCCGGACAAGGGCCTTCTCGCCGGGTTGTGGGAGTTGCCCAGTCACACCCTGCCAGCGACCGCGAGTAACACCGCGTCGTCCAGGAAGAAGGATGCGCAGGGGTACATCTTGGGTTTGCTCGGCGAGGGCGGCGAGAAGCCGAAGACGAAGCCCAGGGTGCGGCATGCCGGGGATCTCGGTAGCGTGCCCTGGCTATTCTCACACCTCAAGCTGACGATGCATGTGCACTTCTTCGAGGTGGAGGGTGACGAGTACGTGTCGTCGCATGCGAAGCACCGGTGGGCCACGGCCGAGGAGTTGGATGAAGAGTCAATGGGGACTGGGATGCGCAAGTGCTGGGCCCTGGTGAGGGAGAGGATCGACGAGTAGACGAGCCATGTCGAGGTGCGTCAAAGTGCTTGGATACATATCCACGATGACCTGAAATAGAAGCTCGTAGCGCATCCGTTCATCTGGGGGAAAGCTGGGATGTTTTGCAATGACGAAACGTCTTGCCAATATATTATACCTGCATGAACAATTGTACGTCAACGGGATGTTAGGCGGTCTTGCTCCGTTACGGCCTCCCTCCGTGAAACGTCGGGATTCCGCCGGGGTTGCGGGATATGCCCGTCGCCGCCTTCAGCTCCTTGGAACTCAACCCCTCGGATACACCAGGTTTCACTGACAGAATTCCCCGTCTGTACCTCACACCTCCGTGTCCGTGACTGCTGATGCCGGGTGGTCCGGAAAACGGGGCCCAACTTCCTCACGATGGGCCCCCCTTGGTATTGATTGTGGATACGTCCGTGTCGTGCCCTCTTCCGCACACAATCTGCCAATTCTTGACTTTGCACCTGCTCCGAACTTTTCAACCACATTCAATAAGGCTGCCCGGCTAGCTCAATCGGTAGAGCGTGAGACTCTTAATCTCAAGGTTGTGGGTTCGACCCGTAAGCATCAGTTGCCTCATCGATATCTTCTAGGACAGTATCACTAACATGCACCAGCCACGTCGGGCTCAATTCCCGTCAGCGATTGAACTAGCAATCATCTCTTTTTGCTGGATTCTTACGTGGAATTCAATGAAATCTCTTCTTTCGAAGTGGTAATTACTTATCTTGCAGACCGTGTCAACTTACTGCCAAGCATCGTCATGCTTCCCTTTTAGGGGAGGTTATTTAGGTGTCTATCCCTAGCACTGTCATTCCACCCTTTGACAGAAGCATAAGACCGAGGTTGTGCTAGAAAGAGCCTTCGCCAAGTGGCCCAGACTACAAGGCTCCCCTCTTAATCAAATAGGGACAACCCTAAAGATTCAATGCAATGATTCCGCTCTTTACCAAGCCAGCTTCTCCAAAAAACCAAGCATCTTGGCGTACTTGGCACTGCGGCCTGCGATGCTCCGGCCCTAGAGAGCGAGAACCACTCTCAGACTAGCGAGATTCTGCACCAAGAAAGGATCGCCGCATGGGGGTTTTGGGAACCCAAATTACGGCTGAGGCTAAATGCGATGCTTATTCTGATGTAGGGTGACGGCAGCAACCACACCGTTCGGGAATTCGGATGAGGGTGTAGCGTGATCTTTTCGGTTAATGACACATTGGCGTGACCGTGTGCAATATAACCAACCGCCCAGCCCCGAGAAATATGAAAACATGGAAACTGTTTTTATTATGTTACTCACGTCCAACATCCCGAATTGCGATGATGGGCCTGCTTGCTTCGTCCAAGTTTGATTCCTTGGCATTGCTCGTGGCGATTCTCGTCGCATCCTCAGCGGCGCTCAGTAGCGGCAATGTAGACAGTCAATGTTCTTGGAATCCTTCTGGTCCTCTCAGCCTCCTTGAGCAATGCCGCAAGGCATACAATTCCAAAACGGCATCTGGTTCCTCTAACTGGAGTCCTTGGACACAACAGCCTGTGTGCGTCAGCCCAAAGACAGAGAAGGGTCCCGACTATTGCGCGTTTGTCAAGGAAGACTTCCGCGGGAAGACGGGCGTCCTCATTATCACTAGCCCGGAGATCGCGGCCGGCGACTACAGCATTGTTGGAGACTTTGATCCTCGATGGATCGACTTCAATCGACAGCCCGTCCGGCTCGATGCGCTGCCATTCGAGGTTAAAGAGATGCCGGGAAAGGGCTTAGGCGCCGTTGCAAACACAACGATTCGGGCAGGGGACGTCATTCTGAGGGAATATCCGGTGCTTCTACAGCTGGCCGAGATTTCTGCGCCGATTGATCGGATGAAGGCTCTGTGGGTTCTAGAGGAAGGCTTCATTCGACTGCCGATACAAGATCAGCAGAGAGTTTTTGATCTGTCCAGAAGCACCGGCGGACATGTGCTTGAAGATATCATCCGAACCAACACTTTCGGCGCGACCTTCAATGACGTCGGGCATTTTGGACTTTTCCCGAGAGTTGCGGTAATTAGGTCATCATCTATTGCAGTGTAAGCTTGAGGGTTGCTAACAACCAGCAGAGAATCAACCACGCGTGTAAGCCGAAGTAGGTCTAGAAGAGTTGCTCCAGATGGAAGACGCTTGCTCACACAGTTTCAGTGCAATCACTCGATTTTCTCCCCGGACGTTGGAATTAGAAGTTGTGGCCTACAAAGATATTCATCCTGGCGAAGAACTGAGCATCAGCTGTCAGAACCCTCGAGCCCTCGCCTCAGCTCTGGCCCTCCAACCCGGCTAACACAGAAACAGACTCGATGCTGAACATGCTCTACGAAGATCGAAAACAGAGCCTCCAGGAATGGGGCTTCAACTGTACATGTACCCTCTGCAGTTCTCCCGCCGACATTGCCGTCTCGGACGCCTACCGCACGCGTCTGCAGGAGATCCTCGCCGAGCTGACGGACCCGGCTTTCAGCACGCCATCTCTCGTGGCGGAGCTGACCAATGAGCTGGATGACGTTATGGAACAGGAGGGTCTCACGGCGCAAGCAGGCGAGTTCTACGGCATGATCGCGCGGGTGTACGTGCACATGGGTGAGGCCGAGACGGGCAGAAGGTACGCGAGGATGGCGGTGGAGAAATTGGTACAGTTTGCGGGGTACGATGATGACAGGACAGTAAAGGCAAGGGGTCTTTTGGAGGAGTTGGGGAAAGTTGGAGGCGGCGGTGCGTGAGTTCAGTTCGTATGTCACATGTGTGGTGTTGCATACATCTGGCCAGGGTTATGTTCCTGATTCGGACGGAAACCAGCCAACCGGCCGGTCGTCCGACCCCCGTTCACGGAGATGCCCAGTGCCAGATCTAGGATTCTGGGGTGTAAACATGGACTAACACGTAAGGAGAATTTTCCTCGTCAAGGAAGATTCCGCCGGGGCGGATTGGACGTCTAGGACGGCTAGACGGCTGTTCGGCACAGAGATGACAGACCGGCAGGGTTGCTACTGGTTCATCTCATCTTTGGTTTAGGTTGCGGGAGGATGCTGCCGCTGCATGCTATCGGTGGTCGATACTATGGAAGAATTACACATTGATGATATGTCGACGCGGGTTGGGGGAGTTGAGGCTCTGGCTGGAGCCCACCTTGGCGATGCCAAGTGGCTTGGAACGACGGTTGCCAAGATGTCTTGGCGTCTTGGTGAAGACAGTGGATTCACCCGATAAGAATTGAAAACAAGAATAATACAGCGTTAGAACCATGAGAACAAGACAACTGGCATGGTTGATGACTCTTCATTTGTGCCTCGATTGTTCCTAAATACTGAAACAAAAGGCATGTAAGCATTCTTTGCCGAACCATGTCGCATGAGAATCGACCGCGCAAGAAAATGTGCCATGACCGGTATTCATTCTCGCGACAAAGGCTTTGATTCTGCATATCTTACAGCGACGTTCTTTCTCAGCCACAAGAGATGAGCATTCACTGCCTTCGATATTTAAGTGACTCGCGTTGGCCAGCATCCCCTGCTTATTTAAGGTCACAATGCATCAAATGACATTTGAGCTATGTCACCACAGTCGGACCTTACAACCTCGCCATACAGCAACACCCCATAGCATCCACCAAAGCAACCATGTGCATCCAGTGGACTGCCTCCGCAAAATGCACCGCCGCGGTAGAGGGCACACCGCGGAATGGGTGCAAGGGCACGCACGTGGTCGTGACACCTCGTCAGGTGTGCGCGCTCGCCGATGAGCAGTGCGTATGCTTCTTCGGCTCGTGCATGAACATCGTCACGCTGTCCTCTCTAGATCAGGGTACAGTCAACGCGCCGTGCCAGGTCTGCGGCACCGAAGAGGACCCTGAGCAGATGATGCTGCTGAAGGTGTTTGACGACGCCTTCGCAGCGGACTGGGTTATCGCATTCGGCGGGGGCCACTACGAGAAGTGCACCGAGGGCATATGGAGGGGACATTTGGCGGGGAATGAGTAAGTGAACATTTCGGGCCCCCTTGTTCGATACCTATTTCAGAAGAATATTACGCCAAGGCGCGTTGTTACGTGAGATGAATCGCAGAACTACAGTAATTTCTCAAGGCGCGTGTGCAAGAAACAGGCTTTTGAATCGTCGATCAGTCGGGTTCGCTTGCTGTTCCGAACCCCGAGACCGCTCAGCGTGGCAAGACAGCGTCTGCAGTCATCAAGTAAAGCCTTTGACCAACATTCTCTGTAATAAAACTGCTACTGTGTGCTGCCCATCGTACGAGGTTAAGGCTACATGTCATAAATCCCCACAAAGTGTCGTAATTACTGACCCGGTCCTGGGTGGCTGGGAGACTGGGAGATGCCCGGAGAGTCTGTGATCTACTGCGATGGGGAGTACATCCTCCACTTATTTTCGCCATGTGATGGGTCGATTCTGTTGGTCTTGGTAAGAAATTCTCGTGTTGTTGAGCGTAAAGCAAGTCTCGCCGTTTTCTACCAAGTAGGTAGGTAGGTGTATGTGTGTGTGTGTGTGTGTGTGTGTGTGTGTGTGGGAAACACCAGCGCGAGCTAGTAGTTGAGCGCTTAGATATCCCTCTCCAGTTTTCCCCATACGGTCTCCATTGAAGGAAGCTTTATCCGTGGAGACTTTGGGGTGGGAAGGTCCATCAGTTTCGATAGGGGACCTGGGGGTGGCTGTGGTGCTCGGGGTAGACGGAATTTTGAAATAAGACGAAATGGATCTCAAGCTCACGAATCACCAGCGTGTTACTGCACAATAACCATCGTTCTGGTTGGCCGAGACGGGGAGTGAGCTTATTCTACGGGGGCCCATCTCACCACCGGATCCATTCCATCTTGATGCGCCAGAGTCAATGAGGGGGGAGGAATGAACCAGATGGCCTCGAACCGAGGAAAACGGGCAGCGAACCATCGGTCGAGGCCCGATGGGCCAGACCTTGCAGTAAGGAATCGGCAGGTTCTTTCTGTCGGGTTCACACCTCCCATGTCACAATAACCGGAGCAGACTGGGGACTATGACTCGACTCGAAGGCTCCACGGGCGCAAAAGTGCAGCAAATCCTCGGGCAACCAAGAGGGACGCCTCACGGAAGATGGCCGAGCGGCAGTTGCACGCGCGGGCTGGCCCCGTCGACTTAGTACTGATACGGTCCGACCTGGCCCCGCCGGCCGGCGGCGAGCTGCGTTCCCATGAGCTGAGTTTGCAAAAATGTCGGCTTCTCCATTGTTCAATGCGTTAGACCGGAGACCAAGCCTGAACAAGCACTTTAATCTGGGGCACCTCGGCCCCACGCAAGCGTCTAGCTGCATGGATCATGGGCTGATCGGCGTGGCTTTCTGGTTGACCTTTGGCGAGCAAATAACCCCCCATAGCTGCGGCCATCGGCGCTCGACGAGTCATATCAAAGGTATTTTCTAGAATGGTTTTGGGGACGGGTCGCCATCCCACTGTAAACGTTGCGGGGAAAGCCCATTGTGCGCTTCTCCAACCTCCAAAGCGCGGAGAATGCGGACCTGACTCCTTGTACGAAGCAGGGGTTGGGCACCACACCATACGTACTCACACGCAAGGAAGCACACGCATTCGGAACACAGCTTTGGATGCCGCTACCTTACCGTCGGGGCCGACTTGGCTCGCGTCCTTGGTATCTCTTGAGATGCCTTGGCAGAGCCTGGCAGGGGGTATCACGTCACTTGGCACTGGCTGATCGCCTGTGTCCGAACTCTTGGTCCAATCCAGTTATACGGTACGGTCGTAAGCCGGCGCAAATAAGACTCGAGGTATACCTTTAGCGCACCCGCCTCCCAACGACCAACGCCGCCGGTGTAAGCGGCGCTGGTGCTCTTCGGCAATTCGGCGTCAGACACGACGATGTGCGAAAACTGCTGCATAGAATCTTCTGCGGGTGTGTTGCATCACGGAATCTTGCGGGAGAACCTTTCGACCCTAATCCGTCGGTTGGGAGAGAATTATAGTTCATGGTGCTAGTGCAACGTCCAAATAGTCGACCTAGGGTACCAGACTTTGCGCGAGGGCGGCATGATGGCCGCGCTGAGGTGCCATGGTTGCCCTTGGGCCACGAACAGTCACCTGAAAGCCAGCTTAGGCCATCCCAGTTCTCCGAGGAGCCTTGTAACGGTTCTGAAATTTAGACTCTGTATCAGAGCCTTTTCCGTCGCCTCGATTTCCGTCAGATTGCCTTGGCTCTCCTTTCGCATTAATATTGGCACAACACCTATCAGCATAGGCAAATCAGACAAATTAGTTCAAACACAGTAATTCGGAAACAGTCTGAACCCATTCCTCTTTCCTTTTTCAGTAAACCGAAGAGCGGCGGGAACGCGTACTTTGCATACGAAAGTGGATAGGCAAACCACATGCAATGCAGTCGTACTGTACGGGAAGGACGCGCGACAAGATCAACGAGTATTGAGAAGCAAAAATAGGGCGCGTCCCGAAAGTACGAACTAGCGAGAGATGGGCGGAAACATGACCGAGCCTAGCTCTCGATTCGAGTCCAGTCCTTTCTCCTTCTTCCCCAACTACCCCAAACCCACCGGCGTGCGGTTGTGGTGGCTGGATGCGGTCAAGCTGCCGCCCACTTCACGACCTTGTCAGTCGCCTCCTCCTCCCCACGCATCTCCATGTTCATCCCCATACCACCATCTCCAGCCATCCTTGACTAGTTTCGTAGCAGGGTCACCATCCTTGCGTCCCTTCCCCTCGTAAATTTCCACGATGGTGGAGCGGAAGTTGAACGATTGGTCACGTCTGCAACGCTCCCCCTCCCCGGCTATCCCAACAACCCTCTGCCCACGGGGTGGTCGTCGCACTGACCGCCGGCTGTCATCTCTTTGAAGCGGGGGATGGGGGGACGCGGAGATGGGATCTAAGGTGACTTGATGTCTGCATCCCCGAAAGCGCAGATCTGAGTATTAATACGTCCCGTTCCTCACCCTCTCTCTGGTTTCCTGTTCTTCAACCGTCGTGTTCACACCTCCAAGCCCTCACACCTTCCTTACCCTCTCACAAGCCCGCTATCGAACACTTCCCTCGTGCGAGCATACTTCATCCGTCAAAATGGCAGGTGGCGGCGTCAAGAAACCCATCAATATCTTCAAGCTCGGAGAGCTAGGTGAGCCCAAGGGCGTCTTTAACTGGCGACTATGGTTTGCCGTCATCTCCTTCGGCCTCATGGGCGCGGCCCGTGGTGTCGATGAAGGTCTCATCTCTGGCGCCTTCGGCTCCAAGGATTTCCAAAGATTCATCCACTACGAGACCTACAGCGCGGCTGAGCGGACCAACATCAAGGCCAACGTCTCTGCCATGGTTCAGCTGGGCTCCATTGTCGGTGCTCTCTTGTAAGGATTTGCTCTCTTTCCCCACGCTCCATCTGACATCTTGCTGATCAAGCATAATCCAGCGCTTTCGTCATCTGCGACAAGATCGGCCGTATCTGGGCCACTCGTCAGCTTTGCGTCATCTGGATCATCGGTATTGCCATCTTCATGGCCAACAATGGACATCTCGGCGCTGTCTACGCCGGCCGTTTCATTGCCGGTCTCGGTGTCGGTCAGACGCCCGTTGTCGCACCCGTATATCTCGCCGAGATCGCCCCGGCTTCCATCCGCGGTCTGTGCACTTGCGTCTTCACCGGCTTCGTCTACCTCGGTATTGTGCTTGCCTACTTCACGAACTACGGCTGCCAGATCCACCTCGGTGACAACACCCACAACCGCTGGCTCGTGCCCACCTCGCTGCACATCATGTTTGCCGGCATCATCTTCATTTTGACCTTCTTCCAGTACGAATCTCCTCGCTTCCTCGTCAAGCAAGGCAAGATCGAGCAGGCTACTGAGACCATGGCCCACCTTCGTCATCTCCCTGTTGATCACGAGTACGTCACCCGCGAGATCTACAGCATCCAGCATGCCCACCACGAGGAGCTTGAGGCCACCAAGGGTGCCACTTGGTACGGAAAAGTCAAGGAGCTCTTCCTGGTCCCTAGCAACTTGTACCGCCTCTACCTCTCTACTTTTGTGCAGTTCCTCTCCCAGTGGTCCGGTGCTGGTTCCATTACCCTCTACGCTCCTGATCTGTTCAAGATTCTCGGTGTTGAGGGCCAGAACGAGTCTCTCCTCATCACCGCCGTTTTTGGTGTTGTCAAACTCACTGCCGCCATTCTCTGCGCTCTGTTCCTTGTGGATGTCATCGGCCGCAAGCGTGCTCTGCTCACGGGCATCACTCTGCAGGCCATCGCCATGCTCTACATCGCCGCCTTCCTCACCCACGTCCCCCGGCTCGGGGTTGATGACTCCTATGAGCTGCCTGAACACCTGGTCGGGGTCAGCAAGGGTGCTATTGCCATGATTTACGTTTCTGGCTTCGGTTGGGCCCTTGGCTGGAACTCGATGCAGTACCTCCTCACTGCCGAGCTCTTCCCCCTCCGCGTCCGCGCTCTCGCTACCTCGTGGGCTATGACTCTTCACTTCGCCAACCAGTACGGTAACAGCCGTGCCGTCCCCAACATGCTTGCGTCTACAGCTGTTGGTGGTATTTCTCCCATGGGTACCTTCTGGTCTTTCGCCGCGATCACCCTACTCGGCGGTGCCTGGGTTTGGTTCTTTGTGCCTGAGACCTCTGGTCGCGCTCTGGAGAGCATGGACCGTCTGTTTGAGCTTCCCTGGTACAAGATTGGTCTGTACGGTAACAGGGATGCCGAAGAGAGGGATATTGTCTACAACGAGAAGCAGGATGCTGCTGAAGCTGTTCTCGGGCAGGCAGAGCACGCGGAGAAGAGGAATACCCAAGTTTAATCCAGTGTGTGAACAAAGGTGCTGGAGGCATCCGATGGATGAAAAGGGCATATAATGAATGCAATATACCCAATGATGATCTTATTTCAATACTTACTTTTCCAATGCACATGCATTGCTGCCCACATTTCTGTCTTTGCGAGTATGCTGTGTTGACTGTTTTTTTTCTCGAGAAGCGTGGGTTATATGTGTCACCTTGTTCCCTTTGGGGACTCGCCAACAGCGGATTGGGCTTCTTTTAATGCGAAATCTCTGCCGAATATCTCGTTTGAATCGAGCGGTTTTTTGAGAGTTATCATCGCTCGCATCGAGAGTTTGCTTGTTTTCGAGGGAGTATGCAATGCCACGTGACTGTAACATTCTCAGAAAACTTCATTGATTTCCTCCTACGTCCAATTATTGGTGTTTACGGCTATCTGATAGAAAGACCTTGACTACTCCTAATACTGCAAGTCTCGAGGTTACCCGACCATGGTCATATTTACAACAGGGATCTGCACGCCGCATTTTGAGACACAGAATGGACGTCTCCGCGAAGCTCGTGAGCGACAATGAACAACAATACATACATCAGGTTGTTTCAAGCCCGGTACTAAACCAAATACAATGTATCGACATTCAATTCCCCTTTCTCATGTAATCTAGACCCTGGAACATTGCCAACTATGCAGTCAACATGTCGAGATCAGTGGTGGCTTAGACCTCCTTCAGTCCGATTTTCGATTTGAAGAGGCTTCTTGTGATACTGTTCACCACTTCCTGTTATTGTAGCCCGATTAACGAAACCCTCAATGTTACTGATTTTGGTCTTTTGGTTTCCAAGACATAGTTGGATCTTCTAGTCACAAGCCGTCAAGTTGCTATACCAACGACAAGCAGTATCAGCAAGATAAAAAAAAGTATCCAAATAATGAAAAAAGACGTACTAGTATCTAAATTTGTCTATGTTGTCCCACATAAAGTGATTTCCAATCAGAACAAATACGGGCAGTCCAAACAACCTAAAACCGAACAGATCACCAGCACTGAAGGCTGTAAAATGCTAGTCAGAGGCAAAACCAGCTACCTCGAATTGTCGTCTTCATTGTCAAAATTTCGAGCCCGTCAACTCACAAACATGAGTTAATCCTCGACACGCCAAGTAAAGACAAGAATAAAAAACGAAACATCTACCAAGGATGGCAAAAGTAATGGGCCCTAACCAGGGATCGAACCTGGGACCTCTCCCAGATTGAGATGTCGAAGACAACCCTAAGGGAGAATCATACCGCTAGACCATCAGGGCTGATATTGGGGTGGAGCCGAGAGCTCGATGTTGTGATCCGGCTGGCAGCGAATTTTTGATCAGCTCACGAGACCCGAGTGTGGGGTCCTTAGTGGAGGTAGCTCATTTGAAAGCGATTCATCCGACCTAAAACGACCTCAAACGTTGGACTAGACATCTCACTGGTCTCTTTATTTCTCATCAACTGTAACGGAGGCTCAATAGGCCTTCGTGAGAAAACTGGACATTTTTCCCTCCTAGAGATTGCGTTGATAGGTCTTACTCGGCCGTTGTCTAGCTTTTGCATAAGTCGGAGCTTGTTTGTTGTGGATTAGTTAAACATATTGCTAGTTCTACTGGATGTAATTATAACGTTGAGAAATTCCCCAAAGACTACCTTACCTAGTTTTAGGACAGTTGTGTTTCGCACTCCAGAAGAACTACAAATCATCTAGGAGACAGCTGCCAAAGCTGCCCGGTTGATCGCGATCGTCATGCCAGGGATCTTCTGCCCATCTACACAGTCATAAGTTTCTTCACTGCTGAATGTCATGTTAGTTGGATGAAAGGTCTTAGCTTTGGCTTTTTGACTGAAATGGGTAGAATTGCGACGTACGTGCTTTTAGTCGACCGTCATCGGAACAAAACCTAATGGGCCGTTTAATTGATGAAGCTCTGGTCGCCGATAACATGACAATGCGTACATCACCGTGTAAGCCCAGCTTGAATCAAGCCCATTTGGGCTCCTCGCCACCAAATCTAGTCTTGGTTTTCACACCAGATCCTACGAAATATTTATGCAACCACGGACCTGGGCATCAAAGCCAAATCTGATGTAAAGCTCCGTAGGAAATGTTGCATATCCGGATGCCTCCGTCCCCCTGCAGGCCAAGGTGCAACTGAATCATTGGATACCTTGCTATCTAAGGTAAATTGAAAGTCATATCTTTGGGCCGATAGCCTCCGCGTACGGAAAGTGGAAGCTACGTGCAGTGAACTGGAATGAGCGAAATGCGATTGTATTTGGTGCCGTACTTCACTTCGATTATGACGTATTCAAGAATTATGCCCATTTTCTCGCGGGAATGTTCGTCGAAGAGATCCATCATAATGCGAAAAGGGTTGGGAGCACGGTCCCGGGAAACTCCTTGTTGATGGCATAGCCTGACTCACTTAGCTGAAGGATGGCTTGGAAGCCCTGGTCATGGTCTCTTGATACATGTCAGAGAGAAAAGAGAAGTTTCATTCTTGTCACGCTTCAATGAGGTGGTAATTTGAAAACGGACGCTAACAGGAAATCGCCACCGAACACACATGATTCACTAATCATCCAAAATCGGTGGAAACACCCAGAGATTCCTTGCGTCATTCCTGACTTGAAAATGAAACATCCTGATCTACGTGACGATGAGGCAAATCAAATCCTCTTATAGCGTTGTCACCAAAATCCATGTTGGCCTCCCCAAAACGGGCCTGGTTCATGTAGTGAACTGACATGCAGTCCCGCCGAAGTAATTAGGTGTCAACCAATTCGAAGAAGCCGATGGTTGTTACCTGTTTGACGTCAAGATGGTGGAATATCGAACGTACCACACTATGGCTATTAGTGTTTTAAGCGCACGTGGAACAGCCAAGTTGAGTTGAACGGATTTGCACATGATTGTTTGTGTTAATGCGACCGAGCTTCAATAGTAGCATGGGTGCTCCAAAGTTAATTCATAGCCAGCAACTACTCGTCAGGCATACTTGTTTCTTGCCTTCGCACTGAGAAAACTATTATCTACTTGGTTCGAAGCTCAAGCCAATGTTTGACTGCCACTGTCAACCCCGCCTCTACTTATACACCGACCCCAAAGCCCACGGCCGCCAAGTAACCTGACTCAGCATTGCATCCAGTCTGGAACGCCATGGCTAGCAGTCGTCTCTGATTGATTATAACTTTGCGTGGAGTCAGCCCTCACCAAAAACAAGAACGTGCAGCTTATATTGCTTCGCAACCGTGCATGTTTCGTTACAGATCAAATGTATCACAACGTAGTGACGAGTATATTTGATTTTTACTTCACATGGAACATGCAAACTGTTCCCCACCAATCATCACGATTCCAGATTCGTGTTTCACATCTAAGAGAAATCTGATGGGTGGGATGCATAACTTTTGTGTCCTAGCCTAGAGAAATCGGAAACTGCACCCCGACCTCAGTCGGATTGAACATCAGCTAGGGTCATAGAACAGCATTCAACGCCAATGTACTAGTCAACATCATATAGGATGGCTCGCATCAAGAATTGACTGTTGAGGGACTGGCGACCAAAATGTGACAGCAGCAAGACCAAAGACGCAAAGTTGCAACATGTCTCGAAGTGAAACCCACATTGGAGGCGATCAACAACCTGAGGTCCACAGCGCAAAATTGGATAAGATAACCGCGGGGACAATCCAAGAGCGGCCTGTAAGTCGATCATCAAGGTCTTATATGCTGGCAAGACCGCGGCGAACGTACGATATTTATGGATTCTGACAAGATGTAAAGTTGAAGGGTCGGCTGCTAGGGGTTTGAGTTGAGTAAGCAGCTTTTGAATAGAACAATAATAAAGTGTTGAACCCCAAACATGCGAAAATTTCTGCGGCAAGCTAAAAAGTCCTCATGTCAACTACCTCGTGGAAGCGGTCTGCAGACTAGCAGAAGCCCAGAGCCCAATTATTTAACCCTCATGGGGCTCTTTCAGCTCGTCTAGAACGCCGAGAAGGAAGCTTCGGAACGCCACTGCCTGTTTGTATTGTACTCACCAAGCACTGTGCAGTAGCGAATCCAGCCAAGGTTCCGGAGGATGGAGAGCTCATGGGTATATCAATACCGGACAATGGCACTCAGGAGCCGGTAATGAATGACTGGACAGTTAGTGGCAACATGTTCCACCCTACAGGCAACTGCACCCGGATTATATTGCTAGATTGGGGGCATTTTCTGTCTCAATCAGGCTGTGGTGTGAGCTCGCGGAGAGCGTTCAATTGAACAACTTGGGGGGGTTGGCGGAGACTGACAAAGGACTATCGATCGATAAGCCGCAAATTCTGTAACATTCAGTGAAAAGTAGTCGCCCTACGAGAAATCGGGGCAGTGAACGTGCTTGGGGAGAGAAGTGTCGCCAGACAGTCAAAGACGGCAAATATCGAAGCGGCCTTTGTCTATTTTCGCTATTCCAATCGCCAACTGTGAACACCAATGATCTCCTGTGTCGAAATACCCACGAATCAATAGATTACACCGAGAGAATTAGCTTCGATACGGGTTTTGGCAAGGTTTCTCTGCTGAGCAACATGGGTGCGATGCATGCTTCGTGAGTAATGAGGCAGGTCGAGTGGTGATCTCCCAACATAGTGAACTTGTTGGCGGGTGGTTCCGTTACTCGCCTCGTACTTTCCAGGACCTCCCTCGTTGACTGCTATTCCCACCAAATCAGAGGGTCCAGAACGCGCATAGTGAACAGGTCCCCTTGTGAGCTTCCACCTGATGCAGAGCATCGTCTGCCTTTCGAGTCAGTATTCTAATCACGGCGTTGATGAGCAATTACAATTTCATGAGACCACCATCATGCTGCGATTACGAGAACGGTCATTTGAAAGCTGTTGAAGAACACTATTCATAGAGGTATCATCTAGGACAGAAACATTCATCCACCCCAACCAAGGCACTGCGGAGATTTTGTGGAGGTTTCTCCGTGGACATGTCGC